TCCTTGCTAACCCCTGCACAAGGGGCAATATTCAGCTTTTAATTACACATTGAACAAGTCCTCACCACTTCTGCTGGAGAGATAAAATCCTGAGAAGGATATGGTCTAAAGACTGACAGACCCTGTAGAACTGTGGCAAAACCTGTGCCACAAAGAGACCCTTGCTTCTCTTCTTAAGAAAATCCAGATGTGGTTCCTTTCAGCATTCATTTCTTTGCTGTTCTGGCTAGTAAAAGGTATTTCTCAGTCATAGTAGCAATGAACATCAAGGACAGGGATGATGAACATCTCATAGGAGAAGCCTCTGGGACCTACCAGCAGCAATTGGCTGCTTCTCATCAGCTTATTGCACAGACAGTTTTAAAAAGCAGAATTACTCAAAATACGAGGATCTTGTTAAATAAGCACACTCCACAAACCACAGCCCCAGAGGACTCGGGTCTAATGCTCAGAGAATTACTAGTTCAGGACTTCCACTTGAGAAGACTTTAGGTGCATTTGGCCCAGGGAAGGCAGAAACAGACTGTGCAGACTTCAACCCCCTGGTTGCACCCATAACATCGTAAGGAACCAGCTGATGTCTCTATCAATGCTTTGGCAAACTCAGATAAAGGTGTCCAGTGAGTTTTATTGCCCAATATCTTAGAACACCTCCATGTACCACCACCTCTGCATCGCACCACCTCCACAGGTGATCCATAAAGCAGTCAGAGTGAGTCAGACCACTCATCTCAGGCTCTTCAAGATCTTAGTCCTTGTTGACAAGGAAATTTGAGGGCTGTGGTCTGGGAAAGCTCCGCCTGAGGAGTCACTGCCTTGGAGGGGTGAGACTCACCAGCTTAAGATCAACCAAGGCACCAAACCCATGTAACACCCCCATCCTACAACAAAACTACCACCTCTCCATGAAAGCAACTGATGAGCTGGAACAAACTCCAAGGTTGGTGCATTGCTGAAGCCCTTCAGCACAGATGGAAGGTGTGTTTGCTCAGGGATTTGCTGTCCCTGTGTCTCCTCTGACCAGGCAGGGCTGGGAGGTGCTACAGGGATCCTGCTATGCTACTAAGTGGTGGCACACTCAGCTCCTTCAGCTCAGTTTGACCCTCTGTACCAGCATGAGGGGTGTCCCACCACTACTACAGGTAAAAAAAGTACTTCCCTGCTGCACTGCCCAACCCATACCTCCAAAAAAACCACAGAACCAAAAAAACCCTCAAAAATCTCCCTCAAAACACTCAGCAATAGCATAGCCACATGGGTGACCCAACAACCTTCCCTGGACAAAGCTAAACCAGCTCCAGCTCAAAAGCAATCACACAAAACCCTGCAGCACCCCAATACCAGGGCACACAGAGCAGCATCTGGAGCTTAGCCCAAGCACAGACCAGGTGGGAACACCCCAGCACCCTCCCAGCCAAAGGGCTCCTTTCCTCTCCACCCTTAAAATGGTGGAACCCCATATAGACCTTAAAGAAACAAGAATAAAGAACATGCCACTTACCTCAAGAGTTGGAAAACCATAACTGCTCCAGAACAAGAAAGAACCACACTTGGAAGAACCCAAAAGGGTGTGGCCATCTTGATTTTATAAAGGTTGGGGCAGATGAGCAAACAGCAACAGCTGTGGGATGGACACAGGAGAGACCCATCGGGTCGTTAGCAAAACCTAACGATGCCCAGCTGCTCCTGCAAACCTGGGCAAGGAAATAATTGTTCCTTCCCCAATGTGTCCTCCATCCACAGCCAACCCAAGGGCTGCTCCAAGTGCCAAGTTACAGTCACCCAACAACCCCCAGGTCCAAACCCAACAGAGGGTGATTGCACAAAAAAAGCTTCAGCTCAGCTTTGTGAGGGTCTAGGGTGGAGTTCAACAGCTTGGAAGTCCTAAAGCTTTTTGAAAAGGCCCTAAATTTGAATGATTACAGTAAGAAATTAAAGGAGAAAATTGGGATAGAAAAGAATACTTGATGTCTTCACTGCCTCACCATAAAATCCTTTTTTACTCCCTTTAAAGCCTTGCTGTCAACTGAAATAAAACCTCCAGATTTATTCCTGGGGAAGCATGTAATAAAAAAAAGACAAATGAAGCACAATCAGTGTGGATTGCACAAGGGCGTCCCCAAAATTAACCCTCAAAATTTCAACCCACGAAACATCCTTTCGCCGATGCAAATCTGGAACCAGCCTGGCTGCGCTGCAAAGGCAACAAGTTAATTAGGGAAAATCAATGGCATGTGAACCACAGCTTCTCTGGGCACTGGGCATGAGGTCCTCTGTGGTGTGGATGGTATAAGATCAAACAACAATGTCCATCCAATGTCCATGGGTGATATTTTGTCCAAAATATGGAAGAAATTGTTAGAAAGTGGGAAATAGCAGCACTGGTGCACCCGTGTGCACACAGGAGGGAGGAGGAGGAGCACAGGGAGGAAGGCAGCAGGCAACTCATGAGGTGAATGCAAAACCTTCTGGGTGATGGTGGGAGATGCAGGAAAAGAGGAGAAAAGGAAAACAGAGAGAAGCAATTCAGCTTTTGGCTGGTTCTTCCCAGTTAAAATGAGGATGGTATTAAGAAAAAAATCTCTTTAAAAAAAAAGCCCAAACATAAAAATGGCCCCTCGAGCGACTGCATGAAAGCGATACAGGGAGTGATGGAGGTGGCACGGCAGGAGAGACCAAAGCGAAGCCAAAGGGGATAAAAAAACCCCCGTGAAGCTCTTGAAAGCTGCCTTTAAACGATGGTGACATGTTTTGACACCGTTCCCTGACAACAATGGCTGTAACACAAGCAAAAAATTAATGATGTCAAATATTAATACTGCTGCTGCACTAACTCCACCAATGTGGTCCCAATTAAATATCAAGTGGGGTTCTAATTTGAAAAGCGATGGTGGGAATGTCATTGCAACATTCCCTGCTGGTGTCTCTCCCCCATGTCCACCCAAAGTCCATGCTGTCCCCACCACTGCTCCAGGCTGCTGTAGAAACACCAAGTCCAGTTGCCAAAATGCACAACCCTGACAGGCTCAGGAGGGATTTTAATAGTAAGTTTACGTCCTACTTTACTCTGAGTTTTGAGCCATTGAGGAGGTCCCATTGCATGTTCTCCTCTGCAAATATGAGGACTACAAAAATATCTCCTGTAATATTTTGTGGGTGGAATTCGTGGGTTTTTTGACACTTTTAACCACTTTGGCCAAGGGCAGGGAGTGACAGAACAAGGGGTGATGGCTTGGAAGTGGCAGAGGGGAGATGGAGATGAGATGTGAGAAAGAAATTCTTGGCTTTGAGGGTGGTCAGACACTGGCCCAGGTTGGCCAGAGAAGCTGTGGCTGCCCCTCCCTGGAAGTGTTGAAGGCCAGGTTGGATGAGGCTTTGAGCAACCTGGTCTAGTGGAAGGTGTCTCTGCTGATGGCAGGGGGGTTGGAACTGGATGAGCTTTAAGGTCCCTTCCAGCCCAGACTATTCTATCATGCTATGATGAAAGCTGAGGTGCTCCTGCAGTCACTGGACTCCAGAGGTTGGGACTTGATGAAAATCGAACGTACAAGGATTTGTACTACAACTTTAACACCTGGCACCACTAGTCACTGGCAATAAATAACTTTACTAACCACACGAAGCCAGACGATGTCCAACCTGCCCATGCAAGCACATGGGTGCTACAGCGCTGACAGCAACGAAGCTCATGCAGAAGTCAGCAAAGTGCCTGATTTTATCCAGGATTTCCAGAGAGAGTCAATCAGCCAAGACAAACTCATTTGACCAGGACTTCTCCTGGCTGCAACTGCTCCTCAGAGCAAATACATTCTTCCCAAACAATTCTGCATCTGTTTATTGCCTGAATGACAGACTGGGAGATCTACAGGACAAATCTGCTCTCAACTCATCCAACTCACCTCCGCATTACTGGAGAGATTCCTGAAATTCAGGCCATGCTACAGCATCTCCAACTAAGGATTCACCCAACCATGAGTTGTCCAAAACCACCATTTGCTTCTCAACCATCATAGAATGGTCTGGGTTGGAAGGGACCTTAAAGTTCATCCAGTTCCACGAGCCATCAGCAGGGACACCTTCCACTAGACCAGGTTGCTCAAAGCCTTATCAAACAAGTCTAGGAGACAGCTGACTCACAGACAACCCCTGTGCAAGGCTGATAATCCAAACTGGTCCCACTGGGCAGCTTCTCGGGCCATGGTCTATTCTGCTCTTCTCACCAGCACCGATACCCATTGATTTGCATTGATAACCATCAATTTGCACAAACACTAACGCTCATCTCCACCATGTTTTGTGTTACCAGAGAGATCACAGAGCTCTGAGCAAGAGCATCTATGGGAGATGTTCTTTTCACCTTCTCTGTTTGCTCCTTGGCTCTCAACTGTCCTCATTTACCCTCCTCTTGGGGACAACTGCAGCCTTCCAGCAACTCATTTATTGTATTTCTAATGGTCCTGGCTGAGATGGGAGACAGAGGTCACCCCTCTGGGAACCCCCCCTGAGTGCAGAGCACCCGAGCAGACACTGCTGTGCACTTCAGTCAATGGGGGGGGAGGAAAAAATAAAAAAGACAATTAAACCCCCCCCCTATAATGCGAATACTTTTATTATCAATGAGTGACTGGTATTAGCTTTTTGTCTGGGTATTAATAATATTTCAAAAAACCATACATCAAAATTAGGGTTTTCTCCTATTTTTGCTGTATAATTTTTCTTTTTTTTAAAAAAAAAAAAAAAAAAAATCTGTATTGAAAGAATTATATATAAGCCAAAGTGCATTTTCTGGTTTTTGTCCATATACACATTGCACCATACATAAATAATTACATTGTAAAAATGACTCCATAATTACAAGTATAATATATATTTTCATATAATATATAAAACTTTATATTAAATCTAGGTAGATGATATTTGGGATAGTCTGTGTCTTTTTTCTTTTTTTTTTTTTTTTTTTTTAATTTTTTTTAATTTTTCCTTTCGTCAGAGGTTGACCGTTATCGATTGTTACTGAGTAAAATCTCCAACCAACAAGGACACGACGTGATAAACTGTCTGGAATAACACGGTCCCCAGCCTTTGGCGAAACTAATCCGCACGCTGTTCGGGTCGTAGGGCCCGTCGGCGTAATCCAGATCGGCCGTGTGCTGCAAGAGGCAGGACTTCTCGTAGTCAAACACCTTGATGGAATAACCCGGCATCACCTTGCGCACTATCAAAGTCCTACAGTTGGGGATGTCCAGTGTCGGGGAGTTGACGAAGATGGGATGGTCGCTGCGGTTATAAGCCCACACACCGTCCGGTTCTTTGCTCAGTAAAATCCCGTAACCGATTTTACTTCGAGTCCTTCTCACAGTCTCGCTCCTGTTTTCCAGGTTTAGCTGTCCGAGGCAGAAGCCATTTCCTTGAGGTAGGTCATAAAATATACTGACAGACTGTTCGTACACTGTGTAGAGGCGACCGACACGCGTCCGGTGCTCCCAATAGGCCACGTTGCACCAATGGCTCCTCTTCACGGCATCGGGCGACGTACTGGCATCTGTAGGGGAAAGCAGAGGAAGAGTCAGGTCTTGCTGTGACCATCTGGGAAAAGACAAGTATGGGGGGTAAGCAAATGGCTCCTCTCACCCATCAGTTTTGCTCACACAGGAACTGAACTTGTGTTCAACCCAAAACTTGCATTCAACCCAAAGCTTGTCTTCAACCCAAAGCCTGTTGTCAAGCCAAAGCTCATGCTCAACCCAAAGCTTGTGCTCAACGCAAAGCCTCTCTCCAATCCAAAGCCCATCTCTAATCCAAAGCTCATCTTCAATTATGTCAAATGCCACCAAGAAAGAAGGCTCAAGTAAAGGCTAGTGACCCAATGGGCCACCCACCAGCTCCCATGGAGCTCAACATCTCTTTCTCTCTCTAATTTAATGTTCAATTCAGTGTCCAGGAGTCAGGACCCTGTGTAGTCAAGATACGTGCGTTTCTACCACCAAGAGCAGTCTGGATACTGTACCACTGCAACTCAGCCACCCCTGACCTCAGTGTGTCCCCAAGCTCCTCCAGCATTGCTATGGTGGTGTACCCCCATTTTCAAAGGCCAACTTGTGTTGAGCTGAAACACAATGGATGTCCATGAAGCGCTTGGATGACTGACCTGACGCTTATGTCAACTATGGAATATTCTTTGACAGCGATGCTGATGTTCCCACAGGGAACATGAAATCTGAGGAGGCATTTCATGCCAAGGGTGAGTAGTTGCTATGAACTATACATGTTCTCCTACAAAGCCACTGCAACGCTCTCCAGAACAATGAGAAACGTCTCTTCTTTTTAAGAATTACATTTGAGATAGGAGGGACGCAGACTGACAGAAATCTGTTTCATTTATGATACCTCAAGAATTTATGATGCCTCCAGAAGGAAGATGGAAACTCTCAGCCCTTAAAAGAGCCCCGAAGACGGCTAATTAACCTCTTGCAGAACATCATTCCT